AGTTGAAAAATGGTAGTCTTCGTTCCCACTCATGTGAAAGGTTTAATCATTAGGTTTACAATTTCCACTCATGCAAATTCTTTTTTTTTTTTTTAAATCTCATATCACTTGTAATCTCAAGAATATTGTCTTCTTGACTTTAATTACCAAGAAAATAAAATTTACCCATTTCTTTTGATCATGTGTTTAAAGAAACTAATAATTATGATAATAGTTTATGATTTTAAACCCCTCTTCCTTTAAGGTATAGAAATTTCTTTCTTCTTGACTTGTGTACAACAAGCCCCATGCTCATAGCTTTTTTTCCCCCATACAACATCAATAATTTCAAAGAGAAAATTAATATCAATGTAAATAAAAAACCCCAATACTTCCATTTTTAATATAATTTTGTTTATTGTACAATAGAATATATAACTCACACATATAGCTAGATTCGACTTGATTCATATACATACATATTTTTAAAAGTTAACAAGTAGTAGCTAGGGAGCAATTATCGTGCTGTATATCTTCTCAAATATTTTTGGAAATACATGAACCACAAATAAAGGTCACAACATATCAAAAAATTACATTTCACTTTGATAATTTTTATTGATTATCATTAATTAATTGGAACAAAATCAAGATGAAAAATTTAACTGCATTATGTGAGTGAGTGGGTTTGGAAGATAACAATTGGAATTAGTATTGAAAAAAAAGACTGAAAACTGTTGGAGAACATATTTTATTAGAGGGGGAGTGTTTTAGATGATGATTACATTTACTATATATTCACTTCAACTTACTTTGATTTATGTGTGGTCCCTTTTCATAGTATTTATATTTGGCAAAGTAAATACGAGCAATTAAAGTAAGCATTTCGATTACTTTATAAACAATCCCCTTTTTCACCAAAAAAGAAAAAAACTTCATAATTTCTTTACTAAAAGACAAACGAAGTAAGTATTCAAGTAAGTTTTATTGTAAAAACGTTATGGTAAGATATTTTGGTAAATTTCCTTATGCACAATATGCATGATACCTAAGAAATTAGAAGTTGCCTTTAGACTTATTTTATCTGTGTTCTTTTATACAAAAGTGGTTTTTTTTTTTTTTAAAATAGAGTACAGCTGAACTCCACAAAGATTTTTTATTGGAATATCGAAATAAATACGAAAATTAAATTGAGATTTGTTATTACTTTCTCCATTTAATAATGTAAGATAATTTTTACTAAATTATGCACTCAATAAATTTTTTTTTTTGCCAAACAATCTTAAGAAGTTAGTATTTGTTTATTAAGAATATTTTTTTATTAATTACATATTAAAAAATTTAAAATATTTTAAATTTTTGAACAAATCTCTTCATTTAAAAATATAAAGTATTTTTTAAAGAGTTAGATGTTAAAAAATGTAAGGCATTTTTAATTTTTTAAAATATAATTATTGTATTTTTTAAAAGTATTTTTATTAATGAATAATTTTATATTTATTGTAGGGTGTTTAATAGAGATAAATATAAAAAGATAAAATTAATTTAAAAATAAATAATTATTTTATTAAGAGGTAAAATTTAATTAAAAATATTTTATATTTTTAAATTAAAAAAATAGAAAGAGAGAGAATGTTTTGTTTGGGAAGCGAGTGAAAATGAGTCAAGGAGGGCAGTCAAAACATGAAAAGAGGGCAAGAAGTTGAAAATTGGGTTTTGGTGCAAATTCCAAGGCAAAGGAAAGGGCAGAAAAGGGAAATCATTTTGCAATCAATTGCTTTATGATTGAGGGATGCCACTCATTTTTTTAAAAAGCAATAAAGATCAAAAGCATATATAACCTTTTCTCAATTCCAACCTCTTTTTGACCCTTTCATACATTATGTTCCAGAAGTAGGCCATCCCATACCCAAAACAACAAGGCTTGATTTGATGTCAATATTATTTTTTTAAAAAAATTTATAATAATATTCTTATTTGATTGTAATCGTCCTTTATTCATTAATATAAAAAATATTTTTATAAAATAAAATTTCTCCTAATATTTTGTGTGTTATATTTTCTAATTTTATTTTTATGATAATGAATGTCCCTTTTATTTTTTAAAAAAAATTAAAGAAGGTTCTGGTAGCTTTGCAGCCTCATGGAGGGCTGGACCAAGAAGGACCACCGCCCTACAGACTTATGGACGAATAGTTCAGAGTTTTTTCCAACGAAGAGAATGAGATTGTCAGAGATTTCACATCGCTTGGATATTTGAGATTTTTATAGATAATTTAAAATATTTGTCCATGGTTGTATTAATTCAAAATAAGGAGATATCTACTTTTAATAAAAATTTTATTATGAATTTTATCACCGGTTTACATTCACTGCTATTGTTCTGCTCCTTTTAAATCTTAATAAAAGGCAAAGTTTGATTATTATTTTTAAATATAAGATAGAGTTAACATAATAAAATTTATTTTTTTAATTTTACTCTTTTTTATTAATTAAAAAATGTAGAGTATTAATAAACACTACTATAAAAAAAAAACTTTTGCAACTCTCTGCACATCGGTTATTTTAAAATGTGTAAGTAAAAAAAAAAAAAAGACTCTGGCATTTTCGTGTACTGTACATCTCTATCCATTCAATGACCTCTCCAATATTTAAAACCATATAACCACCATGAGAATTCATAAATTGCTTCTTTATTTATATCAACGCATATATACGTTTTCTTTATTCTTGCAAATATTTTTATGCTGGATATGAGACCTTTTTTTTTTTGTTGACCTGAAGTTGGATATCAGAATGAACCATGGCAAAAAAGAACACAAGAGAGAAGACATAATATCATCTTTATAATTTATAATTATTCAGATGACATAACATGCAATCAATTATTGGATTTTAGTAAGAGTGCCACATCACGTGAATTTTGTGCAAGAATTTGTTATTCAATATAGAGATATTGAGAAACCAAAGTGATGAAGACAGAGTCAAATAGTCATCATATAGAAATTTTCTTACAATCTTTTTGGGCCTAAAAGCATTTATAATTCCTATATACTGACAAAGTTAACATATAGGCCCCTTAATAAATTGATTAAAAAAATAAAATGGACTGAAATCTTGATAATAATTATATGTATTATATATTATTCAGCTTAATTTTGCAGTTTGATAACAAAATAAAACCCTCTCAATCAGAAGTTTTAAGTTTGAATTTTGAGAATATAACAGCATTTGATAGTAAAACTTTCACTCAAAAGGATCACAACCCAATTTGAATTGGATAAGTTACATTGGAGCTTTGGGTTTGGGTAATAGATAGTTTGCTACCAAGAAAAAGTTAGGCTTCTCAAAATTGAAATCAACGTCCCTAGTTCTTAATTTCAATAACAAATTATCATTCGAGAAAAAAAATCTCTGTTACCATTTTAACAACAAACAATTTTGCATTGGTTCTTGTCTATGACTAATTCTTTTAGAAGGTCATTGAATGTAATTCTCTCACAATTTAATCATATATATGTAGCTTCGAAATCAAGAAAAACTTAAATAAACCTAATTATACCATATTTAATTATCACCACATGCGCTTATTACACCACCATAAGATCATCATGATGCCATAGTAAATGTGTTTTGTATAAATTTGAGTTATTGTCAGTCATTTCTTGTAAACCCCTTTGCCCATTATTGCTATTTTTAAAAAAATTTATTTCATTATGTTGAGGGAATATGAAGATATTCATCTAACAATGGATAAAGCTTGAAAAAAGCAGCCTTCCACTAGAAATAAATTGCTAAAATGACAAAAAAAATATTTTAAATCACTATTTTCCATGAGTGTATTTAATATGAAAATATTTATCGCTACTTTTGTCATATATAAAATAAAGATATAGACAATGTTTAAATTAATAATCAAAGGCAGCAAATGGATGGTGGGGTAAGCCTGGGCCTAAATGAAAGTTGAAGTGGGTCACCATGTGTCAGATTCTTTGGGCCCTAAAGCCCAACCTCCCTATATTTGAAAGTTGACTATTGATTGCACTATTTCTTTATTATCTGTTAAAATTACTTCACCATTTATTGATATAATTAATTAGTATTTTTTGCCAACAATTAATTAAATTACTAATTCTCAAGCATGATTTATAAATTTCTCCCTCTATTTTTTATTGGTAGAGAAACTATAACTTTTAATTTATATTTTTTTATAAACAAAATCATCCATTTCAATAGGTATTTATTATATATTTTTTAAATCACCTCTCATAATTTACATTAATGAGAACAATTAAATGTATGCTTATATTGATTAACACAGAACATTTTAGTCTATTTAATTTATTTTTAGATATAATTATTATAATTAACTAACTTTTTTAAATTGTGTGATACAGTTTTTTTTTCTTATACATAAAAACGAATGAAGTAAAACTCTTGAACATATTTGTCATGTAATCCATTGCATGAGTTACTCAATTATTGGTCTCTGGTTAAATGACCTCAACCCACCTAAGAGAAAATAACGATTTAGTAAAAAAATTTCTTTGTGGTCGTGGTATTAGAATTGTCATGTAAGTAGTTTAAAGTCGCATTTTAAATTATTATGCTGGTCTCAAATTGTTCAATTCATTCACATGTTGATTTATTACTTCAACAACCATGTAATATTTAAAAAAAAAATTACTTCAACAAGCATTTGCTGTACCAAAAACTTGATCAGAAGTCACAAATTTAGTTGAACGTTAGGATTTCTAGTACCTCATTCATAAATGTGCAATAATTTATTATTTAGTCAGAATGCTCGTATAAGTACAGCCACCTAAAATTACTGATAAGTCCAAAATAGCATATTAAGGTTCATATTTTCAAAGTTTACAATTTGATTATAATGATGCCAAAAAAAAATGCACATCACATCTATAGTTGTGTAAAATAAAAGGGAAAATTACAATAAGGACCCAAATAAAAAAATTAATTACTTTTCAGGCTATTGATAAATCAAGCTTCAATATTTACAATTCAAACTTCAGTACTTATAAGTGAGTGTGACTTATAGATAATTAATTTTATTATACAGGACTTATATGTAATTTTTCCAAAATAAAATTGTCATTATTTATTTATCATTAAAAAAAACTCCTTAGACAAGAGGCTTCATGCTTGAGGTGCTTTTTAGCAATTAAAATAAATGACCTACATTAGCCATCGTTTATTTCTAAAGTAAAAGTGCCTCTTATCTCAATAATAAAAGAATCGAGAGAGAAGGAAAAACCCTCGACATGTTTAATATCAAATTTAATTAACAACCAAAAAGAAATGTCACTCAAACTTCTTGATCATTAAAAGATCATTCAGCAATTTCTCAATTGCATCTGCATCAAGGCGACCTTTAGCCTGCAATGACAATCATCTTTGTGAAAAGAAGTAAACCACATAAAAAAGGGAAAAACAAAACTAACTGCTGTATCATTTTTGGGCCAAAACACAGACCTTTGGCTCACCTTATTTTCTGTCATCAACTATTATACAAATTACATACACAGCTTTACTTATTTATCAGCAGCCCAGAAGCAAATCCAATGGATTTATCATACAATCTGGTGTCTGGTCTACTTTAACACAGGCAAAGGAAAACAGACTCAAGAGCCTATATGGACAATACTAAACTGAGCTTCGCAACAAGTGTGAAAAACAAGAAAAAAACTGTAATTCATGTCTTCACAATTTTTTTGACCATTTTGAACCTATAACCACACATACAGAGAGAGTCCAATTTCTATGTTAACTTCTTAGCTAAATTATCTCATAAGTTAGGTGTTAATTTTAGTTCCTTTAATCATCATCCACTTCTTATCCAAAAGGCGGTTAATGATGAAAGCAATCAATTAGGGGACTCCTATCTGATGTAATCTCTTTTGATTTGTATGATCCTGTTTTAATAAAAAAAAAAAGAAAAAAAAACATATAACCACTTGTTTAGATATTTTTTCTCAGCATCTGAGGAAGAAATGAACAGATATAGGTTCAAAGAACAAAAACAGGAAAATGTGGGGGGGGGGGATCAAGAAAAAAATTCCTTGCTCAGGCTCAGCTAATAAAAATCTCAAATTTGAGATACAAGTACAATATCTTCTCTAAATTTTGCCCCTAAACAATTGTCCCCCCCCCCCCCAATTTCCTTACAAAACTTTAATTTCATACATAATGAAAACCAAAACTCTCGCAGTGCCCAACTTGAAATGTTTAACTTCGTGAGGAAGTTAAGAAATTAGGGGATTGCAAACTTTAAAACCATAAGGGAACTTGGGAGCAAAAGGGCTAAATCACATAGTGATAAAGTATAATTTGCCCTAGTAAGAAATATTCTACAAGCTGCCATAACTTATACATCAGAATTCCTCGTTTTGCAAGCTATTCATATCATTTAAAGTTAAATCAGATGCCTCAGTAAATGGGGATAGCATTCAGACTAAAAAATTCCACAACCTATGACAGGTTGTTTAATATTGGTATAGATACCTTGTGCATCAAGCATGTTATAAAGTAGACTCTGAAAGATATTAAAGGGGACAAACCTTAAGAGTTGGAATAACACTTATAGCTTCCTCCACAGTTTCAGGGCATAAATTCCCAAGCACAGCAAGCTACATCACAAAAGAGTAACAGTTGTTATAAATTCCTCCTATATACTAGGAACTCTTTTTTACAATAAATTGTTCTGTATGTACCTCGTACTCAGCTAGCTGATATCTACTCAAAACTCTGAATTCTAGTTAAGGTACGAACAAATAAAAATAAGCTCAAACGAAGTACTATATGCTGTATCAAATAAACAATGAGGGATACTCTCGAACTTGCTTCACAGCATCTTGATTACTGAAGCGGCTGAAGCGCTTAACATACTGCAGAGACTTCTCGAACACTCTTGTAAAGTAAAAAATAATGATTTCTTTAGAAAAAAGCAATAACAATAAAAGATGCCAAGGAAAGAGCCCAAATAAGAATGTTTATTGATTTTCAGATTGTAACATAGAAATAACTTAATAATCTCCACATAAATTTCATTGTACTAGTATGATAGTGTCAATTACTCACTGGGGAATATGCTTAATTGATTCATCGGACATTTGTTTGAACTGCTCCAATTTGTGCTCCAAAAGAAGGGCAACTTCACAGTTCATTAAACATTTGGCCTTCTCAAAATCTATAAAGGCGCAACATCAGGACAAACTTAACAGCTTCACCAGGTATGGACAAGAAAGCAGCCAAATAGAGCTGTGCAAACTCAAAGCAGAGTTAACTAAACGGTAATCACATTCAGTAAAATTATCTAATTGCTTGCCCAAACAACAAAAGTAGATGTGCATTTTAGATGCTTCTTCTTCCTCTTCCTCTTCTTTTCTTAACCAACATTTTAGCTGCTTCAGTAGCAGAAAGGAGTGTAAGATCCACTAGCAGTGTAAGTTCAGTTGACGTTTTCTTTAGAGGATTGAGCTCAAGTGTTCTGTTCATATAGCTTTGTTTCTATTTGGTTCTTTTAGGGTGTTTTCCTTATTTTCTCCTTGATATATTTGTTTCGAACTGGAAACAGTGAAGGTCCTTCAATTACTCAAGTTTTGCCTCGAGGTGAGAGAGAAAGCTAGTGACCTTATAACAAAAAAAATCCACATTAAGCTGTTCAACAAAAGATAAAGGCATCCGTAGCCTCTAATAAATCAAACTGCATATAAAGGCACCACTTATATGTAACCTACATGCTTTTAGAGTTAGTTAATTGTAAGAATAGACGATTGAAGTGCTTTTGCCATGCTAATTATCTCAAAACTAAACTAACAAATCCGGTGGACGAAGAAACTGTTTTCTGGGCTATAATAATAGTTCATTGTTTATCTGTCCTATTAATTATCAATATCATCAATATAATATATAAGAAAGTACATAGAGATACACTATATAAGATCAATGCGGCTCATTTTGGGCTTCATGCAAATGAATAGTCCATTGTAGTTATACCTAGTGCACGAACAATGGTAAGACTAGAAGTTAAACTTGATAGCTTCCTCTTAGTTGTAGGAAATCTTGCCTGTGTTCATCCTCTTCACTGTGCTTGAAAAGTACATTTTTATGAGTGAGGGGTGCATAACAACACCGCCACCAAATGGATACCTCATACATGGTCCCACGAGCGAGGGCCGAGATTGAAAAACACATGAATGTAAAGTTTATATAATTTTAAGGGAGAGCCAGCGATGTAGAATATATATATATATATATATATAGTCGTGAACCCGCCCATGATCACCTTAATTCCCTCAATCATGAAAAAACCCCACCCATGAATTTTTTTGCTTTTTCCAACTAGATTTAACGAAGAAAGAATTATAGTACCTAACCTCTCTCTAGTCTCTGTCAAAAGTAATCGAGGAAAAGCTAGGGATATTAAATAAACAATAAATTAAACGATGCAAGTTTAATACCCCACCATTATATACATATGAGAATCTCCAGCCCAAAACATAACACGCCATATTGGCACTTGCTCAAGTGGGTCGTCTTTACGACGTGATTTACGTATTGACCTCATGAAACAGAAGGATTGTAATTTCAATTGAAATATGTCAGACAGACTCTTAACCAACCAGTTGGTACGGGTGAATTATTAATTCACAGTAATGGATCAAAATTACATGTTACTTGCGAGTTATTCGATTGGGAATTTTAAATTAAGAACAGAGAAACAAAATACCCTCCCCAAATTTGAGCTCTGATGCATCTTCCTCCTCGGTTCTGGACATGTCGATGCGACAAAAAGAAGGATGCTCGACTGATTGGCAGTTCTGGCTTTGAGAGGCGTGTCGTTTCGTTTGATTATTTTTGGGGATTGAATTAGATTTTATTTGGTTTTCGAGGTGAATGATTGGATTAATCAATCAATATATCTATATATCTATTGATTGTTGATTGTTGATGGTTACCCAATACGAAAATTAAAAAAAATTACCAAAATCCCAATTAGCCCCAAATTTGTCTTTGAGAAAAAAAAGGCAGCTTTTTTTTTTTTTTTGGATTTTTGGGTCAGGTTTAGTTAAATAATAGGAGGTTTTGCCATGGTATTAAAATTTTGGACCAAACCGGCCGATCCGACCGGTGACCCGACGAACCGGAGACGAGTCCGGTCCGGTTCATATGGCCAAAGTGGGCTTATGTGACCCAGGTTAACTCAGGTGACCCGGTATTAACCTAGGTAAACCCACCCAATCAAAAGGGTTGGGCGAGTTATTATTTTTTGAAGAGACTAACCCCCCAAAACGACGTCGTTTTAGGGGTCATATTATTAAAAAAAAATATGCAAAGGTTGAACGGTCCGTAATCCGTATTCTTGCGTCCTCTCCTCTGCGTCTTAACTCTCCTCTATCCTAACTTAGTCAGAAGCCCTAACTTAGTATGTCTCTGTCCTTTCCGCTACGGCTTTGCATCTCAACTCTCAACTCTTAATCTCTGAATCTCCGATCTCATATTCTCACGGCGAAGGTTGAACGATCCGTACGTTGATAGCTGATAGCTCAATCTCTGAACGAAAATGAAGGTTGAACTCATTTCATAGTCTCAGTCTGAACTTCACCGGTTCGCCCTCATCGCTTCTCATCTATGGCTGAATCTGGATGCTGAACTCATGACCATCTCTGCCTCAAAGCTTCAACGGTGAATGTTGTGCTCTGTCTGAATCTTGCCTAAGCTTCAACGATCCGTACGAGCCTCTCAGGTAGCTGCGCTCTCTCTCCCCCTACTTGATTCAAGTATGCTTTTCTCTCTCTCTCTCTCTCCTCTGCGAGCTTGTGGACGGAATGATATCTCAAGAAGTTTAACGTGGTTCGGGAAGGTGTCTGAATTTTAGAATTTATGAATGGCAATGTTACAGTCATTGGCTACGGCAATTAAAGTTAGAAAATTAGAAAATAATCAAATATAATTTTTGTCATGGCCCCTTGGCTCGATTTGGTTCATAGAATTCAAACCATAAACTTTATGATTTATCAAACCATAAAACTGAGCTTCATGTTGCTCTGTATCTTCGAGCTTCATTTATGACTTATGTATGTATTCTGATTTGCTTTGGTTGCTAAAAATTAATTCAAGTTTTATATTGCTCATCTCTATCTGAATCCGTAAACTGAGAAGGCGAGAAGCTCTTCTAGTTTTGGAATTCGAATGCTGTGCTCTGTGACTCTGTCTGAACTCTGAATCTTGTTTATGATTTTTGTATGTATTTTGATTTGCTCTGGTTGCTGAAAAATTAATTCGAGCTTTATATTGCTCTTGTATACTGTATTTTGGATTTCTGGCTACTATGATTGCTCTGGTTTTTTTTTTGCATTATATGTTTATTTATGTTGAAATTATCGTACTTGCAGATTAACGTTATAATATGGATATTGGTAATTCTAATAGTGATGGAACTGAGAATCCTACCCCTAGTTCCAACAATCCTACTCCCAATTCCAACAATCCCGCCCCTGCTAGCCATAATGACTCCACATCTGGAACCCTATCAGTTCACGAAAAAAAGATCTTGTATGGGCACATGTTGCTTTAAGAAAAGAGGGCAACAAAAATGTGTATACATGTCTTTATTGTGCATTGAGCTATAAAGGAGGTGGAATAAATAGATTAAAGCATCATCTTGCTGGTGTAAGTGGAAAAGTAGTTTCCTGCAGTAAAGTTCCTTTTGATGTTCGTCATCAGATGCAAGAATCATTAAAAAGTGGGAAAAAGAGAAAGCTTGTTGATGTACAAGCAGACATGGAGGAACATGTGTCTAATGTTAATGCACCCAATGCACCTGCTCCATCTAAGTCAATCAGTGAGAGTAGTGCTAGTAAAAAGAAACCTCCTACTATGCCAGTTGAAAATTATTTTGCCCCTAGGATAACTCTAGGTTCCCAACCAAGCATTAAGAGTGCGTTTGCAACTAAAGAAGCACAACACAGTGCAAAAATGGCCATTCTTAAATGGGCTATCATCAATTGCATTCCATTTAATGTATTAGATTGCCCATTCTTTCAAAAAACTATGGATGCTATTGCTTTAAATTGGGCCTAGGGTTTAAGGGTCCTACTGCTTATGAATTTAGAGTTAACTTATTGAATGATTGGAAAAAAAAGAATATCAGCTACTTATTGAGAGTCATCGATCTAAATGGAAAACTTATGGATGTACACTCATGGCTGATGTTGGACAGATGTGAGGCAACGAACTTTGATAAATTTTCTTGTATATTCTACACATGGCATAGTATTTGTGAAATCTGTTGATGCTTCTAATTTAGTGAAAGATGCCAAGACTTTATTTTCATTGTTTTCCGAAGTGATTGAGTGGGTTAGTCCTAAAAATATTGTGCATGTGGTGACTGATAATACTAATTATGTAGCATGTGGCAAGTTGATTAAAGAGAAATATAAAAGTATTTATTGGTCACCTTGTGCTGCTCATTGCTTGAATCTTACTTTGAAAGACATTGCAAGTATGTCTCATGTGTCACAACTTGCAACAAAGGCATCAAAGATCACTATGTTTGTTTATAATCATATGGTCTTCCTGTCATGGCTTAAGAAAAGAAAGGGTTGGAAAGAAATTGTGCGTCCTGGTGTGACAAGGTTTGCTACAACATTTATCACATTGCATAGCATATATATGCACAAGCATAACTTGCAAGCTTTAATCATTGATAAGCATTTTGTGGATCACAAATTATCAAGGACTGAAGCCGAAATAATTGTTAGTGCTATCATATTAGATAATCAGTTTTAGAATGAATGTCTTGAAGTTGTGAAGATTGTGTCTCCTTTTATAAAGTTGTTGAGAATTTTGATTCAGATGAGAAGCCTTCTTTGCCTTATGTTTATGAAGGCATGCAAAGGGCAAAAAAAGCAATTAAGGTAGTCTTCAACAATAATAAATACCAATACAAGCCTTACACAGATATTATCCAAGCCTGATGGGATAAGCACTTAAAGAACAATCTTCATGCAGCAGCATATTTGTTGAACCCTACCTTCTTGTATAATGATGACTTTGTTCACAAAAGAAGGTTAATGGATGCTATGCTTTCAATATTTGAATCAATTGAAAATGAAGATGTTGATTATATTGTGATGATGAAGCAGTTGAGCTTGTATCGTGACTATAAAGAATCTTTTGATAAAGCTTCATGTCATAAAGTAGCACAGAAGCTAGACTCTTGTAAGTGTTAATATTTAACATGATCATGGTAATTTTATTTATCATATAACATATAATTAATTGTCTTTTATTTGTAGATGAATGGTGGTCATTTTATGGAAGTTCTGTTCTAGAGTTGCAAAATCTTGCAATGCGTATTCTTAGCTAAACTTCTTCCTCTTCTGGTTGTGAGAGAAATTAGAGCTTGTTTGAACGCATCCATACTAAAAGAAAAAATAGATTGGAACATCAAAGACTAAATGATTTAGTCTTTACAAACTACAATCTACGATTGAAGCATAGGTAATAAAAATAAAAGTTATGAATGTTTTTAATAAATAAAAATTTTATTATTACTATCTCATGGTAGATATATACTTATATTTGATTGTTTTGATCTCATTAAAGGAGCCAATTGAAGAAAAAAATAAGTTTTGATCTAATTGATTATGAATCTATTAACAAATTAGACTTTTGGATTGCTGAAGAGGAACAAGAGCCAGCTCCAGAGTTTGATGCTGATGATGTCACTAATTTGAAAGTGCTATGCATAATGAGAATCTTGTAGTTTTATCAACTTCTATGAGAAATAATGAAGGTTCATACTTACTAACATGTCTATATTGCATATATAATTATTTTTTACATAATGATTAATGTTAATTTTTGTCATAAATAGGTGAAGAAAATATGAATATTTCAGAGCATCCACATTTGAATGATGATGTTGGACGTGATTCTGGTTTCTCTCAATCATCTCCTAATGTTTCAATCCTTACTCCTGGAGATTTGAATGAAATTAATGAGGATTTTTTGTGTTGATTATTATTAGCTTTAGACTTTTTGATGATTAAAGGATTGTAAGGATGAATATTTTAAATGTTGTGTTTTTAATGATGTTTTGATGATTATGTTGGACTTGTATGTGGTATTATATAAGATATTAAGTCTTAGAGAATTTGTTTTTATTTAAATTATATTATTTTATTATGTCCGGTTTGAATCTGGGTTGACCCCCAGTTGAACCCCTGACCCCTGACCCCCACCGTGGCCGGTTCAATGGCCGGTTCGGTTTTCAGTACCTTGGGTTTTGCATATAACCTATGTTATAAAATCAAACTAAATAAATTATTTCATATTTATTATATTTTATATTATATTTAATTTATTATATTTGTTAATGATATATCACTCTGTATTAATGATAAAATTCTTATAAATTTTTAAATTTTTAATGATAAATTATTTATATATAATGATAAACTTCTTGTATATTAATATGAATCGACCATATTTCTAAATTCTTAAAAAATTAATCTATATTTTTTGAGTACAAGATTTTTTTGGGTCAATGGGCCAATTTATTCTAAATAATACTTATATAAAATTGTAATCATTTTCAGAAAAATCATGCATTTAAGCAATCATATATCTAAACTTGGTTTTGATAAATAGAATCCAAATAAAACTAATTTTTTCATAATAATTTTTTTAAAAATATCCAAACAAAAACTGTGATTTATCACCTTACTTTTAATTAATGTCATTTTTAAAAATTATGATTATCTATAATCTTATTTGTTCAACTACAATTCAACCAGCACTTAATAAATAATTTGTTGCTTGCATGGTTTTTTTTTTAAATCACGAAGCAAAATAAAA